TTGTCCAGTCCTCCAGCACTTCCTCCATGTCCAGAGGGGAATGAAAAATTTGTGTCAGAGCCCCTGCAATTTCCTGTTTCACCTCCCACTGCAGTCTGGGATGTAATTCATCCGTGCCAGAGGATCAGTCTGTTTAGAAGGCTGACAGAGACTCCAATTCCTCCCCATTTCCTAAGTCAAACTGTGCAAGTTCCTCACAGTGCCTTTTCCTAAATTCTGTACCTACATGCTCCTTTTTCAGAGAATGAAGACCAAAGAAAAATATTCATTTAACATCCTTCCAATATCCTGCACTTTACAGAGTTTGCCCTTGGTGCCAAATAGGCCCTACTCTTTCCCTTATTAACCTCTTCTCTTCAATCTATTTATAAAATATCCTAGGACCCTTGCTAATCCTCTTTGCAAATCATTTTTCATTTACACTTCTAGCGTCAAAGTAAAGACCATTCAACCTTGCCTTACTCTCTTGACACTCAACACAGCTGAACTCACTGACTTGCTTACATTGCTGTAGCATGATGCGTCTCTGTCATTGATATTGTTAATGATGAGGGAATGGACAAACCCCTCTGATAATTACCAAAACACAAGCCCCAATCTGCAATGACAGGATTAGAGGTTCCCTTCTAATAATTATCCCCGAAACACCCAGAAAAGCCCGCCTTTCACCTCGTAATCTGTTAAAATGGTTAAAAGAAAGAAAAGCCCTGATTTCCACTTTATAAATAACAAGAAACAATTTATTTGTTTAACCCTATTAATCAACAAATTAAACAGAATTACTAACAAACTAAATAATTCCCCCCTAGAGTACTAACTATTTAAACAGCATTTCAGTTAGGAAGTAAAGACAAGTCCCACTAATACAAACCTAATTAATAAGCAATAAATTATAACTGAGTCTGCGAACTTGGAGAGATCGTCTTCTGAAGTATTCTGTCATCTCCAGTCTCTTCACAAACGCCTTCCTTCACTAATTCAGGGATGTTTTCTCTCTAATTTCATCAATGAGGACTTTGAGCAAAATTACCATGGTCCCTTTGAGTAATTAGTTGGGCTTTCCCTGAAAGCTGAACGGTGCTAACTCTGGCAGGTGGCAGTTGTCCCTCTCTTTCAGATGGCAGTTGGCTCTCCCCAATTTTCCAAATGCACTAGTCTTATATACCCGTAACGACAATCAAATTCTTAAAATACGATTGGTTTCAGGTTGTCAACATTATCAGATTTAAATTTAATTGGCTTTTGATGTTTAGATGCTTCGTTTAAATTAATTGGTCAAATTCAAAACATATTGTCTTGGAAAAAATGCTGCTTGGCTGTTCTGTACAAAATGTTTCTATTTGGGCACTTTCTGTGTACTTGCATTTATAAACTTTCAAGCACAGACAAAGCACAAGCTCTTAAAGGGACCACAGCACTCTTCCCCACAATCAATTTTACCAACAAATTCTAACTTCGTGCCTTCCAATTCATGAATACTCTACCCAAATTCGTAACAATATTCTATGACTCTTCCCTCACCAGACTAGTTTAAACCCCATCTCAACAGCACTAGTAAAGCTACCCGCAAGGACGTTGGTCTCAATGTGGTTCAGGTGCACACTGTCCCATTCATACATGTCCCACAGTCCCCAAAAATGGTCCCAGTGATCCGGAAACCTAAAATCCTCCCTCTTGTGCCATGTATTCCTCTGCCCTAATTTCCTATTTCTACACTAGCTAGCATACTTGATGGGAAAAAAAAATGAATATTTATGGAAATGATATGGTCAATAATGACATGTTTGCTGACGAATTGCACTACGAATCAAGAAGATCGGAATGAGTTATTTGGTTCTAAGGTCGAGGATTTTCATACACATTCTGTTCGTGTTCTGCTGCTAATCAGTATTCTTAAAACCTGAATGAAATTGTGTAAATTGGCTTTTGGTTTTCGTTTGAGAAATTTGATTTCTGTATTGAACTAAAGCAATCTTCACAGGTTATTATTTTATAAATTACAATTCAAGAATGAAAATTTTTTTGACTTTGTGGTCAGGGTTAGTAAGAACAGTCTCTGGCCATTTTGCCATAGCGAGATGAGGGGAGGGCAAATTTCAACTCACTGAAAATATTGCTCATGTACAAACAGATTTTTGACTGAAAAACTGGCCTCAAAAAAAAAATCAATTTTTACATGAGTATAGATGGTAATTTTGCCATTGCTTTACACTGCTCACTTTCAGAGACAGACACATAGCATAAACCTCTTAAAACCTATTTACTGCCACTACATTTAAAGAAGCTTTTGCTTTTTTTTTAAAAAACGTTAAGGCTTTTAATTGGTTCCAATATGATCGGCAATTACCAACCTGGTTCAGAGGTCAAGTAAAAGCAGTTACCAAGCCAAGTTAGCTTTCCAAGAAGTGAAATAGAGTAATCTAATAATTAGCAATAGATTTGTAACTAAGACTTAATCCATGTCAAGTCTGTAATAGTACAGATGACTCTTAAGACACGATCAACAGTAAGATGACATATCAGCGTACTTTAGGAAAGTTTTGCTTCATTGCAGTTCTTCCTGTCAGTGATCTCACATCTTTTTAAATCAACTGTCCTTCATGTTGCCTCCACTGCAACAACAATTCTAGACCGCATCCGATTCTCTCCAATTTACTTCAGAAGATAATGTTACCAACAAACCACTGATCAGGTCAAATACTGAATTAATTGACAAGATTGTGGAATTAAATAGTAAGGGCAAAATGAACATTAAATGTGTCAAATGACAACAGAAAGCTTTTTTAAAATTTACAATCTGCTCTACTTGCAGTTAATGTACAGTTGGCTAGTCAAAAGGTTAGTGCATATCCCAGGACTATTTTCTCTCAGGGACAAATGATAATTGAAATCTAAGATTCCAATATCTTTCTAACCTCGCTCCCCACCCCCCCCCCCCCCCCACCCCTGTCTTCATGATGACTGAGCTGCACTTATTGATAAAGTCTGCCTGCTGCTTATTTGTCTGCAGCAACAAGAACCCACCTTTGTTTCACCTGTTGCCAGTTGAATAACTGATGGCTCCTAATTTGCACTGAATGCAATTTAAGTTACTTTCCTCCAAGCACAGTAGCTCAATGTACATTCAGCAATATAGCTACCAATACACTAGGCTGACAAAGATTACACAACAACGCTTCTTGCTCACTCAAAGGTCACGGTAAAACTTTCTGCATCTTAAACATTCCTGATAATGACATCAGAAGTGCTAGATTAAATGTGTACTCGACAAGTGTTTAATTCCAACTGCTTTGTATTCATCCCTCCTTCATTTAAATCTTCTACTTATTTTCCACTTGTCAGTAAATAGACCAATGCAGATTGACCACACAAGAACTGAAAATGCAGTAGTAACAAACGGAAACCAGGAGAATGCCAACCAGTTGAGCCTTGCTCCACTACACGGTTGATTAATACCTTAACTCAATTTACTCGATACCCCTAATATTACCAAATAATCTATCAATCACGGTTTTGAAACATTCAATTGATCCAGCATCCGTGCCTTTTTGAGGAGAGTTCCATATTTGCACAACCCTTTGAAGCAGTGTGTCCCAAGTTTTCTCTAAAAGTCTAAGCCATAATCTTAAAACCGTCATCATATCTCATCTATTTAATCATTTTCACTACCTCAACTAGAACTCAATTCTCTCAACACAGGATTGCAAAGCAATTTTTACACAATTTGTCCTTTCATTTTTTTTAAGCTTTGGTACTATTCTAGTGAATCAGCAGTAATCACCATTGAAGGATAATATATCTTTGAGCTTTGGAACCAAAAATGAACTCCGGATGCAGCCTATCAAGTCCCAGTAAAATTCCCTACTTGTGTTCCAAACCCTTGCAATAAACAGCTAGAGGCTACTAGAATTTTTGATTGTACTTAATATTTTGCCAAGATGTAATCTAACAACTATTGTTATATACTAAATTGCATGAAACATTGCTTAGGTACAACTTAATTAGAGAAAGCAACAGAGAAGGAAAGAGGTGAGTCAACTTAGATCAGTAGGTGAAATAAAGAGGAGAGGGGAAAAGGGATTTTTTTATCCTTTCTCAATCCCAACAAAATAGAAAAATGAAGATTTGTTTTAAAAATGTTAATTTAAAAATTCTAAAATCATTAAGAACAATTTACCAGGTGAAGGACAGACTTCCACAACACATTACTTTTTCAGGCCAGGATAATAACAACAGATTTTTTTCTAAAGAGAAAAAAAGAGTACGAGTCCTAAATGTCAATAGCAGGATTCATTCTCAGTTGTGGCACAGATGTGGCAATTCTTTGACACCTATAGGCAGATTGCCAGTTAGCTTTTTTTTTGCCAAGCTAATGCCAAAACAATGCAAATCATTCAGGGGTTTTGAAATGTCAAACCTCAAAGACATATTATCTGTCAATGAGGATTACTGACTTTGTAGCAAATTTCAACTCAGAAGTTAAGAGTTTTCATCACAAATTGCTGTTTTTTGAAGCTATACTGGTGGTGATCAAAAACTTGACCATGTTTTTCCAATTTCTTGGCTGATTTTTCTTTTTGAGTCACATATAATAGAACATGTAAACATTCAGCCCATGGTTTCAGAGTAGCAGAATGCTGGAGGAGCTGTTTGCATATCTGCTAAGTGGACAACTATAGGAAAAAGGAAACAGGAAACGAACGTAGCTTAAATTTCCAACATTGATTTGTGGCACCTTTCGTACCAAGAATAGTGCCAAATAAAGAGACATCCATCTGTGTACTCTACAGCACAGATTAAGGTGAATTTCCAGAGCTCTCTTACAAGAGTCATGATTGACAGATCCAATAACCAATTCACAACTCAACTACGAATACATGGGTATAATCAACCGATCAGGTTGGTATTTTAAAAGCACAAATGCAACCTATATACATCGTGTATTTCATAAATCACATAAATAGAATGAGATACTTCTTTAATAGTGCAATAAAACTCACCTTTCTTGATTTATCACAGTCTGTCCGTACTTTGATTACAATGGTGTGCTGTGGGAAACCTTTTAATCGCAAAGTTCAGTTATAACCATACCTGTAAAAAAAAAATTGGAAGTTGCTAAAAGCTTGCCTCATTTTATTTTTATTTAAAGCAGTGTTTCCATTTCACTTTTAATAGAATTAGAAATTTTGCATTAGTTACACTAGATATCAACTTAAGACAATCAGAATTTGTGAATTTAGACAATATTTAGTAAGCACAGAAGTTCATTGGCGGAGAAAAATTCCCCTTCTTAACATGGTTTCTTCTCCTTCTTGGTCACCAAACCACCTGTAACCAAAAGTCAACAAGGATCCAACCACAAGTCTTTCATGACTACTTTGAAAGCAGCCACCAACAAAACCCTAAAGGGGTCAGCTTTAGGTTAGATTTTTCCCTCAGACTTCCTTCCCTTTCTTTTGCTCAAACAATAGCACAAACAGTGACTCAACCCCAATATCAGTAACTACTTAAATCAGTGTGTCTCAGAAAATGCCAATTGGACAAGTGAAGGTCTTAGGAACAATTCTACTGTGCCATATCTCTGGTTCAGAAGACCCAGGTTAAAATCTCACTTGCTCCAGAGATGAGTCATTAATATGCTTGAGTAAGTTAATTAAAAATATCTACATCTGAAAGGCAGGGTAAATATCTTTACAAATACAAGGTGTGATATATTTGAATGAATTTCAAACCTGAGATTTATGTATGTTCCAACAATCAGCAAATCTCACATTTTAAAAACCCACAGAAATACTCAATGTTCAACGCTTCCAACACCCAAGATAAGAAATCTGTAATTTAAGACAAACTATCAAACTGAAGAAATTGTCATTACATCTGCCTTGTGCAATCTAAAAATACAATTCTACAGTGGAGGCGAGAGTTTATCTTAAAGACAGAAGATGCTTCTTCTTGCCCGGTTTTTCTTTAAAGTCATGACAGAAGGGAAACAGAGGTAGCCCAGGTAATTACAGGCCAGTGAGCCTAGCGTTAGTTGGTGGAAAGCTGTTGAAGATACTGAGGGATGGGATTTATTCATATTTGGAAGCAAATGTATTGTTAGCGAGAGGCAGCATGGGTTTCTGGAGGCAAGGTTATGTCTTGACAACTTGATTGAATTTTTTTGAGGAGGTGATAAGAAATGATTGATGAGGGAAAGGCAGCGGATGTTGTTGATACGAACTTTAGTGTCATGGGATCCAGGGTGATCTGGCTAGATGGATACAAAACTGACTTGGTCATAGAACACAGTAGCAGTGGAAGGGTGCTTTTCAGAATGGAGATCAGTAACTAGTGATGTTCCAAAGGGATCAGCGCTGGGACCTTGGTATTTAATATACATAAATGATCTGGAGGAAAATGTAGCGGTCTGATTAGTAAGTTTGCAGATGACAGCAAACTTAGTGGAGTTGCATATAGTGAGGAGGATTGTCAAAGGAAACAGCTGGATACAGAGAGATTGCAGATGGAGTTTAATCCAGACAAATGCAAGGTGACGCACATTAGAAGATCAACTTCAGGTGTGAATTTGACAAATGGCAGAAACATCAGCAGCATTGACAGAGGGGGATCTGGGCATGCAGGTTCACCGATTCTGAAAGTGGCAACACAGGATAAAGGTGGTCAAGAAGACACGCTTGCCTTCAATCAGCCAGAGCATCAAATATTAAAAGTTAGCAAGTTATGTTACAACTATATAAAACTTTAGTTAGTCCATATTGTGTGTAGTTCTGGTTGCCACACTACCATAAGGATGTGGATGCTTTGGAGAGGGTACAGAGAAGGTTTACCAGGATGTTGCCTGGTCTTGAGGGCTTTGATTATGAGGAGAGGCTGGATAAACTTGGATTGTTTTCACTGAAAAGACGGAGGCTGAGGGGCAACCTGATAGAGGTCTACAAAATTACGAGAGGCATGGATAGAGTGGATAATCAGAGGCTTTTCACCAGGGTGGAACGGTCAACTACAAGAAGATTCAAGGTGAGAGGGGGAAAGTTTATGGGAGAAGCGCATGAAAAACTTTTCACACTGCCTGCGGAGTGGTGGAAACAGACATTACCAACATTTAAGGCACATCTTGATTGGTACGCATGGGAGGCAAACTGAAGGATAAAAACAGTGCATGGGCAATAAATAGTGGGTCTATTTATGGATTAGGGATCAACGCAGCCTTGTGGACCGAACGGCCTGCTCCTGTGCTGTACTGTATTGACATGTGGTGGTGAACTAGTTACGAAAAAGCTAACAACCCACACACACACTACCTGAAGGTCCATGGAAATCAACACAGGAACAGACAGTTTCAGAAGGGGTCAGGAATGTGAAGAATCCAAGCTTTCAACAGTTTCAAACAGGTTTATTGCGCTATTCCTGAGACAACATTCTGATTGGTCAAGAAAGCAATGTCTTCCCTTTCTTCCGTTTTCACATTGGCCTTGGAGATAGTAGACTATGTTATCTTTGCAAATGTACTACTTTCTGTGAGACTTCATTATAGAGGCCATCATATTCTTTATTATAACTAATCCACAACTTGCCACTTGTGTTCATCAGGTCCACTACCATTTATATAACACCTCATTTCAGTTCTTCATAAATACAGGAAAGAAAATAGATGACCTTGCTTATTTTTGGTATCAAAGTAGCACAGCTGCTGGTTGCAATTCAACTGCTATCAGAGCAGTTTAAGTTGGTACCTCATGAGCTATATATGCCGGAGATCCCATCATCTGTGCAATTTCTCAGGGGTTTTTAAACCTCAACTTTCAATCATTTCTCTGGAGGCAACAACTCGGGTCCATCACTGTAGCAGAAACTCCTTAGCACTTTTGCACCAAAATAATTCTTCATGGCTGTGCCTGGACTCCGATTGTATCAGCTATTCAACAAAAACAGATATGTTTTTTTTAAACAGCCAAGCCTTACCCCATCTCAGATAGGTGTACACAAACCTTCAGTCACTGGATAGCAATTGCTAACTCATACGATGAAACCCCTGGTGACAATGCTCAATTCGGATTAGATAACTAGAAAGACCTTCATACCTTCCTTGGTTTGCACAGCAGCACAACAAAATACCAGGCAACAGTGAAAAGGAGTTAAATTTTGCACTTAGAATCAATACGAGGGGGACAAGACTTCTGGCCATTGTTTCTCTACCAAAGAGATATCCTGATTACTTCGATTCACCTGCTCTTTTCTCAGGGCCCTATAAATTCTTGCATTCAAATCATCATTATCTTTTGAAATATAATAACTTGGTGCATAATCTTCTCATATCCCTGCCAGGTCCTTTGCCAATTATCTTGAAATTGTACCCCTTTCATTACTACACCTCCCATCACTGGAAACAATTTCTCCCCAGCTGTTCCATCTAAATTACACAAAACTCCTTTAACCTTCTTTCTCAAAGGAGGACTCTAATCTCTCCATATAACTAATTTCTCCCTCATGCTATTCTAAAGAATCTCATCTGTACCTCTCCTAGGCTTTGCACTGATTTAGATAGTACTTGAAGCTTTGCTGGCAATTCATAGAAGATGTACCACATTTCCATATTACCACAAAGTCCTTGTTTTTGTACTACATACCTCTATTTCTAAAGCCACAGAGGCCATAGGTTACACAGATTTCCTTCCTTTTAAAACAGAAAGGATAGGTAACCAGATTTCACATTGTTGCTACTGCAGTTCTTCATGGTAGAAAGTGACCCAATTTTTAAAAATTCTTTATATGAGCATGATTACAGTGCTCTATAGAACATGCACCATTTGACCAATTAGTAGCAATCTAACTACTGATCAGGTGAAACATTCCACACAATAGATCATCATCTCAAACAATGCAGTAAATATGTTCAACTTTGCAGTGAAGTGTTGGCCTACATTATACACTTAAATCCTGGAGTAGGGCTTGACTACTCATGGAAGATCTGTTTGAGGCATGATGGCTGATCCCTGCAAATATCAGGTTCAGGTTTCTAACCTAGCTTAGAACTTAATATACCAAAAGTTAGTAGAAACTTCACTATGTTAAGATTTCCATGATATTTCTGTGATTTAAAAAGACTCAGACAATCGAATTTCAAATATTGAGCAACGGATCAAGTTTTAAAAAAAAGTAGACTGAATTTACATCCTACCAACTAATTCTTCCAGCTTCATTAAAATGTACACTTTCCAGGTACAATCTGTCATGAGTCCCTGTAATTTAAAATAAATTTCTTTTAAAATCTGCTTGAAGAAATAATCACTTTTCATATCTTCCTCTGTATCTACTTTTTTGTCACAGGCAAATACTACAGAAAAATGTGCCGTGCCTTATCTGATCCACTTTGCAGAAATCACAGAAGGCCAAAGTAACTGCCAATTCATAAAAGAGGCAAGGGCTTAAAGCAAAAACCTTTCCTGACAAACACTGCAGGCCCACCTATGAAAAGCAAAACTTTAATCCAAACTTTAAGGTCAAATGATTTGCCAACAAAAAACTGCATCTGTCAGAACAAATCTCCAGAAGCCAATGGGCTAAGAATGGAACTGGGATTTCACTGAGCTAGAGGTGAGGCTCATTTCAAGTTTTAACCCACAATCTTACAATATGAAATAAGGTTTTTAAATCCAATTAAATAAATTGGCCCTTGTTTAAAAACTATCAGCAAATAAAGGTGTAATACAGGCTAATAAATAGAGGTGTACAAAATGATCAGAGGTATAGATAGAGTAGACAGCCAGAGACTTTTTCCTAGGGTGGAGGCAGCTTTTATGAGGGGGCATAGTTTTAAAGTGAAAGGAGGTAGATATCGGGGAGACGTCAGAGGTAGGTTCTTTGCATTGCCGGAGAGGGTAGTGGAGTCGGCCTCATTAGGGGCATTTAAGCAGCTATTAGATAGGCACATGGATGATAGCATAAGGTAGCGGTGGAGGTTAGATAGACCTTAGGTTTCAGGTAAAAGTTCGGCACAACATCGTGGGCCGAAGGGCCTGTACTGTGCTGTACTGTTCTATGTCCTATGTTCTAAAGTAAAGTCCCATGTTTCAGTCAGGAGTTCTGAA